TTTTGGCTTCAACTTTTCAGAATTAAATGAATTAAATTAAAATAATAAAATAAGAAATATTTACCATATACGTAAAGGTATACATACATACTGTATCTATATATGAGTGTCTATGTATTACATACATTCGCACTAAACTGGGATACCCTTTTAGCCTTTGGGTTTAGGGTATAAAAATGTTAATGAAAAACTTTAAAATATACCAACGCTGCTTAGTCCGACTTCTGTTTTGGTCTGCTGCTACAGTGGAAAATTGGGCACGAATACACCTGTCGACCCTTTTGCGTCGTAAGCCAAAGACAAATGTTTTTTTAACAAAACAAGTATGAGGTTTTTTGTATACTTTCTGAGTTTGGAGCCTGTTTTCCCCCTTTGGGGCTGAAATATTCCAAAACCACCTAAACTGTGGAAAGATACTTGAGTTCAAATTCCGGGGTCCTACATTGAACCGTTTGGGAAGTGTGTTGATCAACAATCAGTCAGTCGATCACTCAGTCGAGCTGTTTGATATACTTGTATGTATACAAATATACCGATAATTGTAATTAAAACTAATTGGCTCAAAATTTGTAGTGAACTTGAACTCGCTATTGTGTTTTCCATGCAAACCTAAATCTTGCATTCATTGTAAACCCTTTGTATTCCCCGCTGTGTCTTTCATAAAAATACATATACTTGTAATGCCTAACCCGATATCTTAGCAAATTCCAATCAATTGTAAAAACAATAAGCTTCAGCTGCCATTTACAGCCTGCGTCTAAGCCGCACGAAAGCAATGCTGACAGCAAAAATAATTTATGCCTTTGTTATAGAAGGTGCACCTGCTAGCCTCTGCACCCGTTACCCCTGCCCCGACCAGGCTGGCACACTTACCCGTTGCGAGACCGTCAACGAGTTGGTTGTAAGTTGGTGCGGCCAGAAGACATGCGCCATTAAAGGCACAAACTGGAACAGAAGCAGTGGCAGTAGCAGTAGCAGCAACAACAGCAACAACAACAACAACAATAACTTCACTAACAACAACAGTAACATAGGCCAGGCCATGGACTAAGAGTCGTTGACAAAAGGTTGGCCCCGACGAATTGGCAACGTGCTGCTTGTCATTATTCAGGCAGGATAAGAAAAAGGACATGCTACCAGCTAGGCAGCCGAGTAGACAAGCAGACGAGGTGGCAGTCAAGTTGCCATCCAACTTGCCGACTGACTAAAAAAGGACATTCCAGCTAGAAGGTGTGCTGGTGTCGCCGCCCAGTGAATGAATTGCTGAGTAACCAATAATGAAGTAAACTGTGCAAGTCTGAATGTGTCATTGTGGGACGGACGAGCTGTCGGACGATAGAGAAGCGGATGTGCTGACTGTAGTTGGAGCCGCAACAAACCGGGCACAATTCCCTGTCAGTTGCATTGTTTTGACCTGATTTACATGTTCGGCCAGCGCCACGCGGCAGGCGGTTCTTATTAGAAATGGGAAGAGTCGTGAATTGGACTGGGGGTGGAAGGAGGAGAATGGATGCAAAAAAAACACGTTGTGGACTTTTATAAATTACTGGCACACACACAAAAGACTCCAGCTCTAGTCCTGCTGGCCCGCACCAAGCAATGGATAGCACACACAGGACAGCGGGAGCGGCAACCAGCAGACGGAGGAGCAGAAGGACCACCAGTGACAGGGCACAAGACAAAACAAAGGCCAACGTTAATGAGCCAAAAGAATGGCGCGACATAACAAACGTAGAAAAACAGAACGGGAAATTGTAAGAAAGCAGAACTGTGTCACAATGTTTTGACACAGAGCAGGAAAGATATGGCCTGCTGGCAACGGCGCGCCGTGGAGGTAGAAAGGACTAAGGACCAGCCGCACTAGTTAGTTAAGCAGCCAAAGACAAAGTTGATAAAATTAGATTTGTATGGTAAATAGTTGGTGGGCGGCTTCATGCCGGAGCTAACGCCCTGGGCTGGGGCAAAGTTTAATAAATGTATAAAATTAATTAGCTAGTTGAATGTTCATTAACAGCCAGCAGTTGTCGGCCAATGACAAAACGAAATGACAACGGAAAACAGACAACTATATTAAGAGCTAGACGGCGAAAGTCCCTAGAACATGAACGGCTTTAACATCAAATTTAAGGCTGCGTGGCCGGGAACTCGCTTTTTCGGCCCTGTCGCCTGGCATTGCCAACCACCATAATTAATTTTCCCAGCTGGTAGCATTGACATTGGAAAATTGTACTCACTCTTTTTCTCCTTTACTCTCTCCATCTATCACATCCTCTCTGGTATTTCACACCTACAAGCCTTGAGGGAAGTGTCAAAAAATGTGTGCACGCTCCCGCTGAGTTCGGAAAATTAATTTTGACCTTTTACAATTTCAAACCACGTGAGTTCTGATATTTATTTGACTTGGCCTGAGATGGGTTGCAGCGATTTTAAAAAAACAATTGCGGCCGTAAGCCCAGTGGGAAACGACCCCCTCTATGTAAATACTTTAGTCTTTTTAGTTAAATATGTAATTATATCTAAGATTGTACAATAATGTACCAAAAGAAGTCTTATAAAGTACATTAATAAATAATGTGGAAAGCAAAGGGTTACTATATGTCAGTAAAGGGTGTGAACAACAATTGCAACAAGTTACATAGACATTTCAAAATGTTTCTTAACTATTACAAGTAATTTACGAAGTTCGAAAGTTTGTGATTTTTTTTTATTTTATGTGACCTTACAAGCAAGATTTATTTTGCAGCATTTGATATGCATGATATCATCATGTTAAGTTTTGCGTTCCTATAAAAAAAATATTAACTTCAACAACATTAACTGTATCTGCCAAGTCCGAATGGGAAGCGACTCATAATCGGGCTAAAATAATCACTTAACAAGCTCACAAATATTTTGAAATGCCTCTGGAATACTAAACTTATAGTACATGACACCGTCATTTCCAAAACGACGGCTCTTCGAAAAACAAAATAACAAAATGAGAAAAAACTTCACCCTACTCTGATGGCTTCTTATATGTAAAAGGCGAAAAATACATATATACTAATACATACACGTATGTGTAGGTTTTGGCGTGACCGCAAGGACATCGACGATTCCTCAAACATTACAAATGCCTCCTTTAAACAGAAAAGATACGATCAATATTGATCGTTTTGAAAAAGTAAACGATGGTGGCCCTGCTGCCTATATATGTAAGTAAAATGGGCAACCAAATGAAATCGAGTCTAATCAACAATAACAGTTCAGTTGTATTGTAGAAACGGAGAGAGCACTACGCAATTCAAAAACAGTAATGTTGAACTAATAAGAAGCAAAAACAGGAGTACTGAAAAAATAATAAAAAGTAAAAAGAGCAATTATACGTTAGTCTAAAAACTGAAATTGCTGAAAAATGTAACAGGCAGAAGGAGGCGTGGCAGACCCCAAAAAGTATATATATTCTTGATCAGCGTGACAAGACGAGTCTGTCCGTCCGTATGAACACCTGGATCTCAGAGACTATAAGAGCTAGAGACACCAAATTTTGCCCATGATGCCTTATGTGTGTACGCTGTGCAAGTTTGTTTTATTTTTTTGATTCCCCCCCCCCCCTCCCCACTTCCCCCCTATGGGGGTTTTCCCGATTTTCAATTCGTATAATCGCCTATATCTCGGAGACTATAAGACCTAGGGACACCAAATTTTAGTCCCAAATGCCTTATGTGAATACGCAGAAAATGTGTATTTTGGAATTTCCCTCTCTCCCCCCTCTGCCCCGCAAATCGTAACTCCCGTAATTCTTGGAGTTCTGACTCAAATTTGAGAAATACCTCCAGTAAGTCATTATGTGTCCGTATGCGAAGTTTCACTATGATAGACCGATTTAACAAGAAGTTATAGTCATAATATATTTGCTGCTCCAGCGCTGTTGTTGATGGTGATGCTTTGGTTGACAGCAAACATGTTTACACAGACACGAATAGATGCTCATAGGCATTCATACACTCACACATACGCAATTGCTTTGTATATGTGCAATTATATACCCTTTACGTGAGTTCGAACACCGAGAAAGGGCAAATCAATCAACATTTTTTGTTTTAATTTTCTTCATTTTTTGTATTTTCTATAATTATTGTAAACATATGTACAGAGTATTTCAAAGTCGGGACACCCGTCTTTAGCCTTTTTACTTGTTTATTAATTTCTTAACCTCACCCATATTTTCAATATACTTGTATATAAATCCATTTTATAGAAAATACATTACACCCGAAACACTACGAGCCCACGAGTGGTTGATAGCTTAGGCTTTTTACGGAACGAGATAAAGTATGAATGCCGTTTTAGCTTCCATATTAGTAATATGTATGGCGGACTAGTGGGAAAAAACAAGTTGAGTTCAAATTGACTTTTTGTACAGGAATGATTATTATTGTTATTATTTATTTGGGCAAATGAATATGTAAACGCATAAACAAACAAAGAACCCCAACTAAAGTGTAGCGTCAACAACGAGTTTCACTCTAACTATATAAGATTACTTAATTGGCATTATCGACAATGCCACCTTCAAAAAAAACTTCCCATTAAGCAATAATTTTAGGTAACTATCGGTTTTGAGCGCATGTTAAAGCATACGAGTACACGTGTCGTTAAAATTCAAATGTTGCAAATGAAACATAAATAAAACAAATTGGCACCATGTACACATGCTATACGAGTATGTATACAAATTAAACCACCAACAACACAACATACACAAACTGAATGAATGAATGAATGAATTATTTAGACAAAAGATTTAACAAAAGCTAACAATTGCTCATCGCAGTAGACACAGAGAACCATGCTCGTCCGGACATAAAAATATACATATAGTACAATATATAATTGATTTGTTATTTAAGTAGACGACTGATTGTGCTTAACTAGACGCATTTTTGTTGTGGTTTTGGGCTTTTTGCTAGCGGACCACAATTATAATATAAAAAATTCAAATTTTGTGTAATTTCATTACAGTAGACAGATTAAAAAACTGAAATTGCTTTAATTTGATTAAAGCCGTGTTGCTTTATAAAAGGTTCAACTTCTGTCAAGTCAGCATCAGTCCTAGTTCATCGCGACTCTCATAACCGAATCGAAACCAGCATTATCATGAAGGCACCTCTGGTCTGCGCCGTACTGGCTCTTCTCATGGCTGTCGTCCAGGTAATGTAAAATTTGTTGATTGGTTCAGTTTATAAAGATCAATCTATGCCGTTGAATCGAGAATAGTGCGATCCGGACTTCCGTCAATTGATGCAGCAGTGCATGCAGGAGACGCAGGTAACAGAGGCCGATCTGAAGGACTTCATGGCCGGCGGCATGCAGGCAAATGCCAAGGAGAACCTCAAATGTTACGCCAAGTGCCTAATGGAGAAGCAAGGCCACATGGCCAATGGGCAATTCAATGCGCAGGCATTGTTGGACACCTTGAAGAAAGTGCCGCAAATGAAGGATAACATTGACGAGATCACCTCCGGGGTTGAGGCCTGCAAGAACATCAAGGGGACAAACGAATGCGACACTGCATTTAAGGTTACAATGTGTCTGAAGGAGCACAAGGCGACGCCACGTCCTCACTGAGCTCCTCAGCTTTAAGCTTCAAATGTTAAATAAAAACTTTTCAGTTTTGATGGTGTATTCAAGCTATGTGTGATTTCGATTTGGTCGCTTACAAAAGATACTGAAACCGCTTCACACACACGTACTCGTAGAACTCCAAGATCTACTTGCGTTAGTTGCTCATTATGTACCTCCTGGGTTGGGGCTTGGTTCTCAGCCAGTGTGGATCCTACATTCTGTGACCTATGGAAGCCAGAACGCGCATCGCGCAGTTCTAGGAACCGAATTGACAACCTGTTTCCCACATGCCACCACAATGTTGTCTACGAAAATCATTTGTCAATTTTAATAAGTTCAGCATCAAGATAATTCAATGAGCAACAGAGCAACAGAGCACCGGAGCAGTGCCTCGATAGTGCTCATGTACGGTGCAAGCCTTTCCTTTTCCTTGGAACATTGTGACACCAATTACCGCTAATAAATCATGTTCACGTGAGCCGCTCTGTGCGCGCGTGTGTGTGCGTGCTAAGTGTTTGTGTGCGTAACATATGAGATACGGGTAATGGCAAGAGAAGCGGCAACAGCGGTCGTGGCTGACGGAAGGGGGCCAATGTAACCGTAGAAGATGCAACATAAATCAACGCCGCCAGTCAGCAGTCGGCCTGCAACAAATACAATACCAACAACAAAAATCACCGTGAAAGACAGTCCATGTAGTGGCGAAATTACTAGCAATATAGTTTTCACTGGTAAGGCTGCACCTACCGACATGGTCCATTTCGCGGTTTGTATGACTTTCTGTCGGGGGTAAGCCTTTTTCCTGATTCCGTGTCCAATGATATGGAGAATGTCAATATCGTTTGCATAATACGTGTATATAGAAAGTAGACACTACTTCTGGAACTTATACCTTTATTGACACAAAGTTGATTACAGGAATTTTTGTGAATATCAGTGTTTATCTTTCGCCACTACGTTTCTGACCTCGTCACGAGGTTTTTGATATTGATGCTAAGAGGAGTAAGTCAAGAAAACAAACTCGGTTCATTGCACTTGCAGTGGGGTTGAAAGAAAAATCGAACTAATGCGCGAGCTATGCCGAGCGATGGAGGGATAAAGTAAAAAACCACAAGAGAAAATTAAGGTTTACAAGCCGTGTGGCATGAAACAACAAAATTTTTACGTACATACGAGTTTGTATGAAAAGAAGAGCAAGGAATTCTATGAAGAACTGACAGCCCCCAATGCAGGCCAGAGGCAATGACAACTTAAAAAAGGTTCTTGCTCGCTCTGCAGCGGGTTCGGGTTCGGGTATGAGTATGGGTATGGGTATGGCTTGGGTACTTTGAACTGTAAGGTCGCCCGGATGGTAGGACAGACACGCATAGCCATGGTCATGCAACTGGCAGTGGCATGCATACAAATTTCCTTGCTTCCAATTGTGCAGCTCACCATCCATATAATGGCTTGGCCTTTTATCAACCCAACGAATACGGCAATAAAAAACTTGGACGATGGATGACTACAGTTTGTCGAAGGTTGAGACTTGCCGTTTGTCTTTGCACTGGAAAACTCAATTTGAATATTGTCAGACACTGCCGGGACTCATTGTCAGACAAGAAAGAAAAAGCCCAAGCCAAAGCCCAAGCCCGGGATGAAGATGAAGATGCAGCCCAACACATACTCGCACTGATGAAGATGCGCTCATGTTCCACATGATGAAATGCAGTCAAGTTAAAAAGTGTCACTTGAGTTATGAGTTCATTGTTTGTACTCGCATTTGTAGTAGTTACTGTAACCCAGAACCCCAGTGGGTGGGACTGCTCTTTGAATGAATATTGTAAAAGTTGTCGTTGATTTGTGCCTGGCCTGGCTTTTCTTGTTGGCAGCAAAGGGTTGTTGTGCGTCAGTCTGGCGACTATTGACGATGCTCTGCTCCTATAGTCCCATGCCCCAGCCAGAGATACTTTTGAAACTAGTTGTTTTTCCAAAGTATAGTTGTTGTTGTTGTCGAACGCTTGAATGCCTATACAAGATGATGACAGGCGAAGTATAAAGAGCTCTCATTAGAAACAAGTATGAACTTTATTTTTTGGGTAAAACAGCATTTTAATTTATTTAATTAGCTCGGTCAAAAATATATTTATAAAATGTGTCGCGCATGTCCGTCAGTCCGGCCGTCCGTCTGGATGGGCGCAAGGATCTCAGAAGGTACAAGAACTAGAGTTACCAAATTTGGTATACAGGTTCCCTTATGCCCTAGGCAGGTCAAGTTTGATTTTTTATTCCTCCTCCTTATTAACCTCGATGTAAATATATATAAACAGGTACCCATTTTAAAGCAAAACAGGCCTGAGGACTAAATAAATGCCACAAATCAGACATAATTGGTCTATCTTTCAAAAACCAAATATTGTGCTCTCGAAACTTATCAACGGAAAAAATTGGAATATGTAATTAATCTGCGTGCAAAATTTGATATCTCTAGCTTTTGGATCTCTGACATCTCATACTTTTCACGTACAGGAAATAGGTGCTAACAGAGCATAGACAGAGATTACATTTATGGTCATAGCTCTCTTTAAAATGTACCTAGAGCTACAGGATTTATTAAAATGGGACACTCATACATACGAACGACATGCCGATTAAGAATATATGTGTACAAGTATGTATGTGTACTCTTGGTGGGGACTGTCACGCCTTCTTCTTTGTGTTACATACATTTGCATTAGGCTTTTACCCTCAACCTCAACGACACTGAGAAACAGCGCAGCTAACATCTATGCAATAGAGAGAAATAAATACTAACGCAATTATAATTAGAATGCACAAAAGTGTATATTTAGGCGCACTTAATTAGGGAAAGCGACGCCGAGCCGACGCAGGGCAGAGCAATAATGAAGGTATTGAGCTGGCAATTTAAATGTAGACAGAAACACAGAGCGACTCTGCCCCTCAGCTGCAGTTCCCACATAATAAGGACTTAGCAATAAAATGTAGATATGTAAATTTGATTGCACACCGGACTGCAACTAGCGAGCGCGGGTCAACGTGTCTGTGCATCTTGAATGCCGCAAACCGTTATTCTTTGACAGTGCCACAGGAACGTGGACCCGCACAAAATGTACATAATGTACCGGGTCAGTCATCGCCCATTGGATTTGACGTACCCCGACCAGAAACTAAAGTGTCAACTTTTGGGTTGTAAGCGCGCGACTGCCAACTCGCAACCCCCTTCTGATTCCCATGCATTTGCTTTTAATTTTGGGAACACGCTCAGGAAACAACAAAAGACCAACTGCGCGAGTGTCGTTCTGCGGCTGTTGAGGGAAACGGCATTTCCGTTGTTCAGACAAGCATTCGAGAACTATTTTTCAAAATTGAAATTCATTTTATATGAGGCCTGTCTGTACAGCCATCAGTTTCTCATATCGCTTTGAATCTTCGGCAATGGATTGGAAAATAAGATCGGTTAACGCTGATAATGCAGGGCCAGCAAGTGTTGAAAATTAGTCAGACACTCGTATAGTACGTGTACGTCTTTTTGGGGTTGACAGGCGTGAGTAGGCTGAGGTGGCGTTTAAAACTCCATAGTCTAAACAGACACTGCTAGCCGGAAACTTATTTTAGCAACTTGCTGACAAGTCACAAGCCAACACGATGCCCATTAAAGTCTATAATCCTATAACCCTTTACTATTGAACCGCTAACCAATAAATTTGAACACGAATTGAACCTTCCATTCAAACAATTTTGGTTGTAAAACTAGTTTCATTATCACTAATTGTTCACTGAAACGCTGAAAAAGTGAAAAAATTCCAACTAGGAAGCAGGAGCTGTTGCAACTGCTCGAGAATCGGCTACAGACAAAGGTGCGTCTAGCTTTAGCCTCAAGAGATTAAATTTCAAAGGACAATCTCATTTCTCATGCCACACCAAATGACTTACAAATGTATGTACAAGCTTTTTATTATATCAGTCGGACTCTGCTACCTTCTTAGCAGACTGGCTAACTGCCTGGGCGGTTAATGGGTATGGGAGCATTTCAATCAAAATGTCGCGAGGGTCGCACGCAAATTTATTAAATCGATATGCCTTCAAAATGGAAAATACTTGTTTGTTCGTTGGCATGTCTGACAACTTTCCAACAAAAATAAAAAAGATAAGAAGGGGAAGATATCGGCAGTATACGGAGATATTAGCATTGATTCGATATCATTTTCGAGCACAAGGTTGTGTTTAGAAAATGTGTTTAGAAAATAGTGTTGCCAATAATAAATTAGACAATGACCGAGCAATCTGAGTCCAACTCAAAGGGAATACTCGTACGATGGGAGGTATTGCGTAGTTTCCCCTTATAAATTTATTGTTATTACAAGCGATTTTCTAAAATAATTAATAGCAAGTATGTGACTGTGCCTGTCACTAGCAGAAATTACACAAATTACAACGCCAGCATTACAGTTCCCCTCTCCCACCCGCTTCTGGTGCGAGAACAAAGGGCAGGCGAACGACGTGGCGTCCAGCAATTGTGCATTTTGTCAATGGGAATTAAATTGACAGCCGTTGTCGATGTCGATGGGATGTGGATGTGGATGTCGACGTCGACGTCGATTTCGACGTCAAAGACTCAGTACGTCAACTACCATACAAAAACGCACACACCCATAGAGTGGGACAGCTAGGCAACGAAGGATGTCGAAAGTTTTTGAGACTAGGGTTCATCGTGGGTAGGTCGGGCGGTTGGTGGAGGATTCGATCGCTCAGTTGGCTGGTCATTCCCATCATTAGCGTCTGTACGTGTCAAATTGATGCTGTTATTGTTGTGCGTATGCTGTGTATAGATCTGTGTATCTGTGTATCTGTGTATATATGTATGTGTATGTGTGGGTATTGGCCGTGAGTACTATTTGACATTTAGCTTAGCCGCGGGTGACAAATTTAATGGACGGCCCGAGAATCTTTTGTCTGCCGTCTACACGCTCTGTGGGTTGTAGCCTGTGGTCCGCGGTGGTGGTCTGTCTAGGGTGCTGTTGATTTTTGCACACGTCTTTATAAAGCCAGATGTATTTGAA